CAACTGTATTTAAAATTGTTTAAAAAAAATGTTCAGTTGTAACAAGCATTAACATTTGTACCCTTGCTATAATAGAGTGTGCTATTTAATAATCATTTATTAGATTATAGTATAAAATATAAATATTTGAAATGAANAGTTTTTTCTTCAAGCTGGTATCTTTTTAGGATTCAAATCGTACATTCGGCGCATACGTTTCTTTAATTCTTGTGGGAATTTGTCGTAACACTTTTTACAAGCTGGTTTTAAATCAAATTCGAAAAACTTAGTTTTCTGATTCATTTTTTGATCACAAAATGCGCATGCAAAGTGATGAACGCACCATGCTTTATTTAGAGCTGTAAAAACTGAAACAGAAAAAAACACAATATGTATAGAACTACATACTTAGCCCTGTAAAGAAACTTCCTCAAACAAAAATTACATTTTTTAATTAATATTGTTATTTCAAGAATTTGTAGTAAATTTGATTGTTATTTTACAACAGTTATGCAGTACAGATACAAAGTATTGAAAAATTTTAACATAGCAAATTTTTTTTTTATATTAAAACAGTATACATACCATCTCCAGCTATTACTTGATTGCAAACAAAACATAGATTGCCAAATAATTGATGATAATGTGTTTCACAATAAGCTAGACCTTTTTTCTCATAATGTCTATGGCCTAGAAACGGTTTTTCACATTTTGCACAAACAAAGTGCTCAACATGCCAATGTTTACCTAATGCAGTAACTACACGTTCCTCAATTGGGCGTCTACAGGCACCACAGATTGGAATTCCCATTTTATCATGACATCTTAGACAATATAATTCATTCTAAACAATAAATTTTTTTATTACATATTCAAAACATTAATGTTTGTAAATAAAATAATTTGAAACATATGTACCATTTCATTGGCAGCGTAACCTGGTCTGGAATTAACTTCTCTAGCATCAGAATTAAGCTCTGTACCACATGCTGTACAATTGAAATGATAAGGATGATACAGCTCTCCACGGAAACGTAAAGGCTTGTCATCAATTACACCACTAAAAATTCAATATTAAATGTATTTTAAATGAAATGAAAATTACATTGTATGAAGGACAATAAAAATACATACTGGCACTGATGACAAATATATTTTCCAAGTGCTCCTGCTTTGACACGTGCATTACAAGTATGACACAAAGCTCTACCCTGACATTTAATAAATCCTGCATCAGCTAATTCACCATCACATTCTTCACAACGGAAACATCCTGGATGCCAATTAGCATTCATTGCTTTTATTACTCGACCAATAACAAATTCTCCTATAGACGTGAAGATTTAGATATCATTTTTATATTCTAAAGAATATTTAAAGACTGTAGACATAGTCTTTATGGTATTTAATTGAGTAAACTTTTATACATACCACACTTTTCACAACAGGGAGCAAATAAAACATGAAAATCATGTTCGCAATACTTATATCCTTCAAATTCATAAAATATTCCATCAGGAAATGGTCGGAAACATTGTGCACATCTAATAAATTTCAAAATTATATGAAATAAATGGTTTAATTACTGTATTTTATTTTCTAATGCAATATATAATAGTTATGTAATCTCACACAAAACATTGAGGATGCCATAGTTCTCCATGCGAATTAACAATTTTTTCATGTGCTACAAACCCTTCTCGACATCGAGAACAGAACATATGATCCATAGACATTTCTGTAACACTACACAAAAACGTTTTTTTTTTAGTATTAATAATCTATCTTTCAATATTTAATATTATTTTTTATTATCGACTATTTTAAATTAATTGGAATATTTCTAACCTTATAATAATTTTATAACTTAAATATCATACATATTAATTGCAATTACATACTTATAACTTTAATATTGTTTATTTGATTACTTCTTACATTATTTATATTATTTATTAAATTACATAAGTTAAAGTTCTTAATAATGATAAATAACATACGAATACGAAAATGAAGATCTAACTTTTTACAATTAACATCAATAAAATTAATTATTGTAAATACCTCTCGGATTCTTTGATTGACAGTGATCATTTATTTTAAATAATCATTGCTTTTTTATTCAGTGACATCTAAAGTGACTTGAATATATTATGATAACGACAAATTGAAATTGAAGTTTTTAATATTTGATAATAACAGATTTAAAATTAAATACCTGCAAACGCTTTTTGACGCTGGAAGAGATATCCTAAACAGTATGTTCACAAGAGAAATAATTGTGCTTACCCTGGCATTCTTTTAGCGATAAGGAAGAACTAAATATATCTCACAATTTGTATTATTAGTGAATACTCTATCTTTCGAATGTTTAAATTATTTTTAATATTCTACATTAATAATTAATAAGAAAAATACTTGATTTTCCAATTAATGGAGAAATGTATCCTTCACAGTAAACGAATTTTATTTTATAAATTAAATATTTTTATTGAAAATATAATTGAATTTTCACAAATACGGTTTTTCTTTAAAGTAAAGATGATCCAATATAAATTTAGAATAAAAATTACGTCAGCGGATAATGCACCACCCTCCTTACTTTACCACTACGTTAAAATGTAACGACCAATCAAATGTTAGAAATGCAGAATTACCTTTTGAGAAATAAAACCTTAAACAATAAAATCAGTTGAGAGCGGAAACTCTTAAATTATTACTAAACGGTCTAAAGATTATGTTTATTATATTTTTTTATTTCAGTAACAAACTTATGTATGTACTTATTTTCTAGTCCTTACTCTAAATTAATCACAAAATTGTGATTAATTTTTTAAATTGTCTGTTGCATGCAAAAAAACCTCAGTGATATAAATGTCAATTTCATATTAACTTCAGTCACTTCGGTATTTTTTTAGCTCCTACAATGACATGAATGGTCTGAAATCTCGAATTTTGAGCTATTATTTCTGCGAAGAAATTCAACAAGAAATACATTTTTTGATATACAGAGTGTCCTAAAAATGTCTCGCAATCCGAAAATTGGTGGTTCCTGAGGTCATTCGAAGTAACTTATTCTTTTGCGAAAATGCAATCCACAGCTTTGTTTACGAGTATTAACGAAAAACAGTGACCACTGAGACGCCAAAGATTAGCTGGCGCGAGATGGCCGAGCCAATGAGTGGAAACAATGAGTGGCTTTGTGCGATCGTTGGCTGAACCGCCTCGCATCAGTCCAGCTCGCCTTTTATTAGTCAGTGTTTTTCGTTAATAACTCGTAAACAAAGCTGCGGATTGCATTTTCGCTAAGGAAAAAGTTACTTCAAATGACCTCAGGAAGCCCCCATTTTTGGATTGCGACACATTTTTGGGACACCCTGTATTATACATTATGTATATATATCAAATATATAGTTTTACAATTTGTCAATAGATAGTAGCACTAACTTACTCACAATATGGTCGAAATTTTGCCTCCTGTCGTTGCGTTCACTTCATTCCCCTTATCTGAATGCACAGTCTTTCAGGTCCATGATCGTATCGTATCTTTGTTCATTTCGGTAAAAAAATGCTTAGAAAGGAAAACCGGCGCGTTACATTACTAACAGTGTTACACGTGAACACCATGAACCTGAAAGACGGGTGACGGTAAATTCTTGCTATGATGGCCGGGGGGAGGGGGAGAACAAATGAATAAAGGAAACTTAACAATGTTTATTCAAGGACATGTATACAAGAAGAATGCCACGCCATGAACTCTCGTTCAGTTCATCTCACTAGAGGGGAAACCCTAATCTAATAGCATATGTATACGCATCGCACTCTAGGCAGCATGCAGTGCCACTGTAAGAAACAGCCGTATGCGTAGGTCTTGCAGTACAAGCGACGGGGAGTCCTCTGTGATTGAATTACAAAGCTACAAACGTTCACATTTAAAAATTTTCATCAAAACATGAGCAAACATGAGTATATCAGGCAGGATTCTTCATAATAAAATTACAAGTTTAAGTTCAGAACTTTTAAACAACATTTCACCGGACATATTGAATAAATGTTGTGAACAATCAGCACAACTGTTTTTAAAATGGTTTAACAAAAATGTGAATTGTATGAATGTTCTTTTAAACGAAGAGGTTCAAATGTAACGTATAAATTATTCATTTTCTTTATATATGCCTTCAATTCCTTAAATATTCTAAGACAACTGTTTAATGTTTTAGGAAAAATATATTACAAAAGACAAATGAATGGTTGGATGGTATTGAATTAGATTGTCAATTAGAAGANTGGTTGGATGGTTTTGAATTAGATTGTGAATTAGAAGAGGCAACCAAAAATTACCCTGAACTATTAAAAATTATTACTTTTGATGATACAGATATAAGCGACCTGTTTGCAGAATTTGAAATAATTAAAAATTCACATAATGAAGATGAAAATTATATTCTTGCATTACAAAGTGGAATTGAAAGTTTGAAGTAATTTTTTAAATACATTTTCATTTAAAACTAATTCCTATTATTATGTTTAATTCTAATATTCCTGTAGAAAGGTAATGGCAGAACTGGATGATGAAACAGGGAAGGAATCTGAATTGTTAAATAGAGAATATATTGCAGATGAGA